AGATGCATAAGAATTCATTCTCTGGAAAAGCGTAGCAGAGCGAAGGGGAAAATGGTCCGTTTGAGGCGGAACGATTTCGCCATGTGCTCTAAATGAACTGAGGGATGAAGGATTTGACTAGGTTCATTCTGCCTTCAGTATCCACTCGCGCCAATTGTTGCAAAAACGATACAAAACCCCGAATGTATAAGTTAAAATTTTTGATCACGTTTTCTCAGCGGTTGGAGGAAACTGTTGGCTTTGCTCGCAAACGGTGGACTTTGGGCATTAGCGAGTGAATAAGATAAGCGATCCAATAAAATAAGCGACCTTTCGGACAGTTTTCATAGAGTTGACTTGAGCACTTCAAATCTGATGCGAAAACATATGATTACACCGGCAGGCCTTATGCATTCCAGACTGGATTCCCCCAAAGAATGAGTGTCGATCCTCTGAGTCAATGGACAAATTGGGCGGAAACAGCTTGCCTGTTTCAGATATGTCGCGAAAAATCCTCGCAGCGATGCATGATCAATGTCCGTTACCATTTTAATAGCTTTTCAGTAATGGAACCGGCTAATACGACAGATGGAACTCTTACCCTGTTTCGGATGCGACGCTATGCCGTTTCTGCTGTGTTACTCTCCACGGTTACTGTAATTAGCTGTGTAATAACCCTTCCGATTATTTATGAATCCATACAGGCTTTGCAAAGTAACATCGCGGACGAAATTGACTTTTGTAAGGTAATCTTTCCCCAGGTCATATTTTCCACATATTTTTTCCTGCCATATAATGATTTATTGCTTTTTGTCAAAAACTGCGTGAGGAGCCATTGCATCATTTTGATGCAGCACCCCTGGTCTCCGGTCCAATCTTTGAACATCCTATTCTCTTTAGAGTTATGCAGTCTTTGTGTTCTACGATAACCTGGGTATGAAAGCACTCCTCCCCATCTCCAGCTCTGGTGTGTTTTTGTTCTTCAAGTAGCTTTGTTCTGGAAAGCTTCGGCTTCCCAGAGCCTCACCGTCCTTTTTTCATTCTACCCTTCTATTGCAGTTTTCTTTGCATACTTTTAGATTGTTGTCTATAATTACAAATATACCCACATCTAGGCATTTCTACACTTACACACTCCACCACACACACAAGCAGGGCACGCACACTTGTTAAAGACTCGCAAGTTTTAAGGTTCCTATGTTCGCTCCATCGTGGTCTGAGGATGGCTAAATTTGGAATTAAGCGGTAATGCTCGTGGCAAGGTAGGGATCTTTAAATGACCAAAGCCTTGCCAAGTAATTCCGCCGGAAGAACCGTTGAGATGATAACTCGTTCGGAAGACAGGCCGAACATCAGTTAATGCAGCATTGGTCTACTGGAATTGAAAAAGATGCATCGGACACACATACACACATACGCACAGACAACCCCGTGAAAATATGTTTTGTACAGCTGTTGCACAGCACAAAATTCATAAAAATTGCCAGCTGCATAGCTGGAGAACCAGACTATAAATTACCTGTTAAAGTAAGCATTAAGAAATCAACAAAATGTGTTTCGTTTTAGACTCGCACGCGTCACTTATGGATTGAGTTATACGCCTTGCAAGATGCTCAGCGAATTCGTTGGCCCCAAAAACTGGTGCGAACTAAACGAAAATGGTCATTTGGTAAGTGGTATGATGACCTGAACGACACCAAAAGTAAGGATTCGCTGCTCGAAATCGACCAATCTGCAGGTACGAGAAACTTTCATCCACAAAAGTAAGAAGCTTACTTTTTTAATTATATAAGCACAGCACACTATCGAAACATAGGCAAAATGCAACCTCAATTCCATACCCAGGTTTGTCATGAATTTGAAGCCCTGATGGATTTTTACAGACAAAACGTAGGCTCCAACATTAAAGTGGTACAGCATCTCAGGAATAAAGTAGTTCGGAAATATTATGACCGAAGCAAATGCAGCTAAATACTGTATGTACCAAAAATATCTTGGAGAGCAGTTGGTGTTTCATCCCTTAGCTGTAAACATAGGCAGAGCGAAACAAACACGTATGACTAAAAATCATCAGCAAAGCCTTCAACCCCTTATGTCTATTATGAAATGATGTGAGTGTTTAAATAAAGCAAATTTAAAAACACGTTATCTTAATTCCAAATTCAAGCTAATTTGAGGCAAGTTGTAAATTTAAAATTCCAGACTTTTACAAGTAAAAGTTGAGTCGAACAATCAAAATTATATCGCAGCATCATCTTTTTCCTTATTCCTTTGCATTCATTTTACTACACTTCTAAACTTCCAGTAACTGGTTGTAACGGGGCCCTGCAGTACAAATATTCATAAAGCATAAAAATTTGCACACATGCACATGCACACACATACATACACAGATACTTACACAAATAAATAGATATGCACATGCATACATATATACAAAGCAAAACATTATGAAATTTAAAAGCTTCAAGAATATTTTGAGTGAAGGCATACTCCGTGGTTTGCAACTCAGCAACCAAGCGGGATCCTTGAAATTCGTAGATTTACTGCTTCATCTGGCAATAACTCAAACACTCAATACGATCATTCTATCTCCACTCACTCTCGAACCGTGACCTCAACTCTCTTTCCTTTCATTGTTTCGAATCCATAGTGCTAAATTTTTTCAGATTAATCTTCGATTCAGTATTGAGTCTTAAAGTTGCTTTTCCAACCGTATTTCTAGTTTTTATGTTTTCACTCATTCCGAGGTTTCCTCTCGAAAGATATTGGGTTAAATGTACAGTTCAAGCCTGTACAGCAACAAATATTTCTTGGGCGAAACTGTACATAAAACGTGTACTTTTACTGCTTTTTTCTCCGGTGGGTACCACAATTAACTTGTACTCGAATTTTCAGGATCATATGGTCAACAATATCAGCAACAGCAGGTTCCTGCACCATATACAGAGCTACCACTATCGACAGATGAACAAGAAATGACCTGTAAGCAACAATAACTTCGTTTTCGACATTGAGCCTGGAGTTTCTTGGAACTAGCAGTCTGGTTTTCTGGCTATGCCTGTAACAATTTTTCTAGCCTCTTTGACCAGTGCTACCACACTTGGTGGTCAGTCTGCTGGTGTTTCTGACATTCATTTTCTCTCCTGAAGGGAGGAATTACCATTTTAGCGATTCTTCGGATGGAAATACTTAACAAGGCTTCAGCCGCTTCGTTATGTTCTTGGTGCATGTTAAGTACTGTTTCCTCCTTTTGACTCTCCCCTTCCCTCGCCTTTTCGGCCCCCCCCCCCCTTGCGGACCCTTTCCTTCTACACTGCGGCTATTTATGTATTTGGAGGAAAATTAAAATAGACGAGCTTTGCAATGTAAATCGTATATTAGGTCGTGCGTGCCCACAAGTGCAATTGGTTTGCCGGGCGAGCCAGGTGACGATGGTGAAGATGGACTGGACGGAAAACCTGGTACTGAGGGGCTCCCTGGAAAAGATGCCGAAACGGATGGTGATAGGCAGCAGTTGGAGCCGTGCATCATCTGTCCACCCGGACCACCGGGATGTCCCGGACCAATTGGACCAAAAGGACCTCCGGGACCAAAAGGGAAGCCGGGTTTGCCAGGACTGGTATGTTTTATTTTTCTTCAACTATTCAAAAAGCACGAATAAATAAGTGGAACCTAGAAAAGGGAGAAAGCTTACTTCGAAAAGTGACACTCATACATTTAGTATTAGCGATGAGTTCAAAGGACGGGAGGTAGGCAGCCCAGGATCGAAGGACTTGTTAGACGCACCAGGCCCAGTAACATCATTAAAATGAGATTCCCACAACGATTGTTCGGATGGTGTCTTCATTTTGATGAATTAAAATGTCGATATTTTCTGGTACCGCGCACAAACATGTCTGTGGATTGAAGGAAACAATATGGGTGCTGGGCTGAACCGGTGGCAGAGAGATAGTTTGTTATTTGATGCAGTGACAATAACAAGAGTGAGTAATCACAGAATCACCAGCACCGGTATAAATAGGTCGGTTGTGAGGAAGGCATTCAGATGTTGGACGTTGACGTACAATACTGAAGATACCGCGAACTCCGATTATCAGATTGTCTTATATACTGAGGTCCCTCTAGTGCATAAGACGATCTGATAATCAGAGTTCGCGGGATCCCCAAAACGGGCTTCATCCAGGATTCCAGAATAGGTCCTATGCGAATCAGAAATGGTTTTATCGCCGTAGATTCAGTCTATACAGAAAGTCGGCAGAGGGAAAGTGAAATGGGAACGGAGAGTCGTATCCCTGTCGTTGTTAAGCTGATGATAATGTGCTACTTTTAGTTCATTCGCTTTGTTTTAGCTCTTTGACTCCTAACTTGCTGTTGATTCTTCATAATCGTCAAAGCGAGTGATTTCAACTTTAAACCGCTTTTTTTTCAGGATGGCCAGAGAGGTGAACCTGGTCTAATTGGAGCGCCCGGTCCAACTGGCCAGCGAGGTCCTCGTGGCCCAAAAGGAGTGCAGGGTGAAAATGGTCGAGTTATCCTTGTGAGTTTTTTGGTTTGTTTATACATATAATTAATTGCATCAGCTGCAATAGTTCGCCATTTTCTTCCAGGAAGTGTACATTTGATTTTTGTTCGATTTCTAACGAAATAGTTAAAGTTTATAACTTATTCTCATTATTTTGCATCAGGAAGCGAAATTGAGAAAATATGTAGGATTTTTTCAAAAATGACAGCTCTTCTAATACGATATTCATCATTCCGGAGAAAACATTGTGCAATTTGCTCACAACTTCCCTTAGAGGAATCAGTGTCTAAAATTCTTGGAAAGGCGATATCGCTGCATAAGTTGACAGCTTTTCCAGTTGCCAGTCCTTGGTCGCAGTAACTAGTCTCAGGATTTTGAAACAAAGGATGTGATTTTAAAATTACAGCGAAGATCGTTGTTTCCGTTTCTGCCGCCCACAAAAAAGTGCATTTTTTCCATCAACAAATGTAACTATGAAGTGGTAGCTGTCGTTTCGATGCACATTTTTCTCCGATTAAAGAGCTCGAAATTGGAAAAATGCTTAAGCAATGTACGAGGAATTGAAAAATAGCATAAAAAGGGAAAAATAAAAAAGGAAAAAAGGTGGGTGAATAAGCGGGAGAAGGGAATCTGCAAAGAGGGACATTTCGGTCCGTAAAGTTGTATACATTTGTTTTCAGAACCACAAATGGAGTCGCCAGTAAGATTTCGGGATTAATAAACTTCGAGGATGACTTATTATCGTTTTCTGTTATTACAGGCCGAAGGACCACCAGGACCTCGTGGTCCACCTGGTCAGCGAGGACCACCTGGTGAGCGCGGCAAAAAGGGAGAAGACGGCAAACTAGGCGAACAAGGGCCACCTGGTCTACCTGGAGGTTAGGTTTTCTCCATTATTGAAATCCTGGAGTGACATTTTACCACAGTGACTGCTTCTGAACTATCCTTGTCAGGGCAGTCTAGTTTTTCTTTGATCCAATTAGAAATGTGTTACGCGAAGTGAACGTTGGGGAAGGAAGTGAAGCTGACATGAGAAGTGAGGAAAAGGAGGGGAAAAAAGGGTAGTAGTAAAAGAGCACCTAGGTGACATCAAATTCTTTGTGTAAGAAGAAATAAATGTTTAAAAAAATTATTATAACATTTTTTGAGCATTTCGGCTGGGTTTTACGAAGGAATGATAGAGAAAAATGAAGGAAAAGGGATGGGGTGAGTGCCTTATATGACCTCAAATTCTTCATGGAGGAAGAAAAAAAATGCATAAATTTGGGTGAAAAAGTGATTTTAACACATTTTTGAGCACGTCGGCAAGACTTTATGAGAACTTTTCCTCACTTTTTTCTTTCACAATAGCAACTGTGGTGGGACAGAAAGTAGGGGGAAGTATTATTGTAGGGCTTTTACTAAAATTCAACTTCTTCAGTTTCCAGGTGCAACTTGTACAATTTCAGAGCCCGGTTTACCCGGACCGGAAGGTAAACAAGGAATTCGAGGAGCTCGAGGGCTGCCAGGAAAGCGCGGATTTATAGGATCCTGCAAGCACTGTCCACCACCCCGATTACCTCCTGGATACCATGTTGTTGATGAGTGATTTTCAACTTTACTTAATGTTACACATCCAGGTTTTTCGAAAAGCACATAGATGTAGCACTCTGATTTAGCGAGTTTTTTCCAAAAAAAAGCCAAATCTTACTTCTGCTTAAATTATGCTAATTTATTATAAACTTGAAAAATTTGAGTTGCAAAAAATTCATAAAATTCGCTTGGATGGACTAGAGGTGTGTGATTTGTATATTATTGTTTTTGTTTCTTCTGAATTAAAGAATTCGATAAGAATGTATATGCATCACGTGCCGATATTTCAGCATTTGTAATTTGCACCACTTTTGCCCTCAGCAAATGTACTTTTGCAAAGAAGGAACTTGTAAAGTGGAAAAGACCTGTAAAGAACTCCAAATGAAAAGTGGAAAGGCTTCCGACAACGATGGCGATTAACGCTGAACTCATCAGATTTCAGAGGCCCGAGCTGTGGAAAGTTCTCGCCGCTCGGATT